TCCCTTCACGACGGAAACAGTGCACACTGAAGACGAAGGGGTCATATTAACTCCGGCTCTAGCCCTGAGTACAGTCATGTAGTTTGGCTTTCTTCCGCTGATCCTTTGGCCCCCACAGTTCTGAGAAGTCGCAAAGACCGAGGATTCGACACCCGCCTACAAATTTATGGCGGAGAACCGTTCTGCAGTTTTCATGATTGTAACCAGCTAAAACATCTATCGACCAATCTAGCGATCACAAATACTTTTTTTGTGGCCGAAAAATGAACCTACATTACTGGAACGTTGGCGAAAGTTAGTTTTACGCAACGAAACAATGTTTTGTTAATAAATACGTCAAGAACGGGATGGCGGCGTATATTTTTGGTTGACGTTGGAAAATGTCGATTTGATCGACACTAGTGGGAACTCTTATGTAATTTCGCTTCCAGTTAGGGTATTTAGAATAGTTGGACGTATCGACCTAATTATTTTTTAACTGCAAAGCTGAATGCCTCTTAAATCGCCCGATGCATTCCTTCACAATAGTGTCGAATCCTCGGTCTATGCGACTTCTCAGGACTGTGGGGACCGAATGATCAGCGGAAGGAGGCCAACCTACAGGACTGTACTCAGGGCTACTCCGGCTCCTGATCAATCACTGCAAACAAACAGAAACGAAATCTCTAGTTCTACTACGACTGCTGCATCTTTTCATTGTTTCGCAGATTTATCATGACACAAAAATAAGGCCCCCAAGGAAAAACTCAAAACGCAGTTCAGAGGAAGCGAAACTTTACCTATAACAGAAACGCATTGCCGAAAGTACAATGGGATTCACACTTCAAGTTTGAGTATTCAAACCAAGAGGATAAAATTTCGTCAGCAAAACATGATCAATTTTCATTTTCCAAAAAGTCGGGCAGACAATTTAATATCAACCGAAAATCTGTATTGGTCGGACGAGCAGTTCAGTTGGGAGTGGTCGGCGAGGTTTGAAACCACTAGTGTCTTATGTGGGATTGCCGCCGGACCACCCATCCACAAAGGTCCGTACAAGAACGCCGTTTCCGAAGTTGTGGTGGAAGCCGAGTGTCAGCTAGAACAAGACATAACGTCGGATGTTGTGGAATTAATTAGCACTAGGGGTTGGCGTTTAGGCATGTCGACCTCTTTCTCCGGTTACTAGGCAAGCGTTTGTTTTACAGACCACGCTTTGCAAGTAAACATGATTTGAATATATGATGAGATGACGTCATTTATCTCTCTAACTGTTCAACGTTATGCCGGGCCGCTGTGTACTGTAACAACTTCGCTTCTTTTTAGAGGACGAATACGGGCCCAACACTTTATAGTTTTTGATTTTAATACTGCTATTTAGGCTATTAAGTGACTCCATGATATGTGTTTTGTTGTAAAAATCAGTCAATCTGATGCTTTAAATGTCCAAAATTAGCGCAACGTGACAAATGTTTTGTTTTTTGGCGTTTTCAGGCAGAAGAGATCTGACGCCATAGAGGTCATTCAAGTGAGTTGTGCGTCGTCCGAAATTGACATACTTTCATGAAATTCACACACATTGATAACGTATTGGCACAGAATAAAACCATTGAAGCATTTTTTGATAACACCTCGCAATGAAAATTAAAAGTCTTTTGAATTCCTTGTCTATGCGTGAAATAAAAAAAAAATGTAAATTGATGTAATTGTAAACAAATATGCGATCCATGTTCTAACACTCTCGCGGCATTGACGGGGCTGATGCTGCTTTGATTTTTCAGCTTTCTTTTTTTACAAAACATCTACGGTTTTTATACAAAACTCATTTTTATTCAAAATAACACCTCTATGTTTACTTAGTAATCGACTAATTCGTGACTAATTCGTGGTACATGTCGCAGATAATTTTTTTCAAAAAGCCGGGAACACTTTTCCCCATGAAAACAGTTTTTACTTTTTCGAGCATGATAACTCTACCGCATCCTTAAAGTAGGAAACTTTTCTTTTTTCATTCCCACACAACGCTGGGCTCAGCACATTCCAAGGTATTTAACAATCACCACCCTACTGTGTGGGACATACCATTATATCACATGGTGGAGACATGATGTATGTATATCAAAATCTGCAGAGAGCACAATCCAATGATTGTAATTAGCAGTTTAATTAACATTGTGCGAGCGCGCGCGACTAAGATCGTTTTTTTTCAGGAATTCTCCCTGTAATAACTATACCACATTGGAAAGTAAGTTAAAGCAATTGACGGAACAAAATTGCTGCTTAAACGTGTTTATGCATTTTTCTTCCACACAGAGAACCATGCAAGAGAAGTAGCATTAAAGGAAAGTGTTATTACACAATTAAATCATACATTAACTGTAAAACAGGACGAATTACTACAGAAAGAAAATATCATGGAAATTAATAAAGGTGAGCATCGTCCTTTGAGTCAGCGAACTCGATGACGTGGATTGACTTTGTACGAATGCTTTGTTGCTTGGTGACTTGTTTATTCAGAGTCACTGGTGAAGCTGGCCACTAAGATCTTGTTGTCAGGGTTGGTCGCGTTGTTAGCTCGTTACGATATATTCTACTCGAATATAAAAACATCAGATTTATCAATACGGATAAATTTTCGAAAACAAAATTACTCATTAATAGTGTTCATTATTTTTACTCCATACAGAAAACCATGCAAGAGAAGCAGCGTTAAAAGAATTTGTAATTAAAAATTTAAATTATACACTATTCACAATACAGGAAGAAACAGCTCAGCAAATTCATGAAGGTGAGAACCGTCTTTTATGTCAGTGAACTCGATGACATAGACTATCTTTGTACTAATAACTTATTCAGAGTCACTAGTGAAGCCAACCAGTAGTTCTTTGTTGTGGGTCTTTTCAGTCCCGCATCTCACATGGCAATCAGTTTGCTAGGTTGACCCATAAACATGGCGTCAAACGTGAATCAATTTATGGTGTCAGCGTTTGAAATTAACGTTCGCCTGAGTCCATCAACTTTTGTGCTGGGCCACAAAGTTTTGTAACGTCGTCGCCTGGTTGTACACCTACTGTTTTGAGCGAGAGCTTATATGTTGAGTATCAGTGAGGTTATAAACTATCTAGTATACCGTTTTCTGTAAATTCTTCAAGAGAAATAGCAAATTAACGAAATATTAAAAAGCCATATTTGCATTGTAAATATTTACGAGCTTGTGCACATAAATTGTACCACGCTTGTTCCACAAATATACAGCACGCCACTGAGTATAATTCTGCCTTTTTAACAAATGCCACTTGTGCTGACACAGTAATTTTGGACAATTTCAGTGGGACATGTATTATGTCATCTATGTATTTTTGGTGATTCGTTTTCTAGATTCATTGTAGCATCCAGAATCTGTAGGAAATTCTAAGGGATGGTATAGGGTTGCCACTGGTTATTTACTTAAGAAAGCCTAAAGGGGCTGCACCCTGCTTTCAAACGATTTCGGTTATGAAAGGGGAGATGTCAGTGAGAGCATTCAAAGTAATAATGTCGACCGACAAGTAAAAATCATCACATTTCAAGGAAACTTGTGTTTGACGCTATGGGCTTTCAATAATGATGTTATATTTCATCACAGTATCAATATATTATCTTGCACGCATATTCAATTAGTGCATTGTACATTGTAGAACTCGTGGTAGAATGTTACCGAAGCCAACAATAGGCTCCACTATTATGATAGCATGTCATGACGGTCAAATTTGGCTAGAGGATGGAAAGTTGACTCTATTTATTAAACCTAATAGTTTCAACGAGTTAGTCGATTTTGACCGTGTCGAAGTAACACAAAATGCAGTAAGCCCTAAAAACAGGCTTCACCCGAGTTCCTGACTATATGGTCTACTGTGACCTGGTTGATTCCATTCGTCAAGAAAGCTGCACATATCATTGATTACGTCCTATAATTGCAGAACACAATGGACATTAGTGAGAAGGTTATCTACAATATCATCAACCTACTTCAATTTCTCTGAGGCAGACTGGTTTGTTGTTTAACTTACCAGGCGAATAATCCATTAGACTCCCATATTTTAGAGTCACATTTGGTTTGGAGATATTGTAGATATATACCAAAATTTACAGTTGTGCAATAATCAAACGTACAAGTGGATTTCACTCGACTACTCAAATTTCCTACAAATTTCTGCAATGCAATTACATGCTGATAAAAAGCAACGATGGTTTAAACCTTTCTTACCTCGTTCATTGGCATCATCCCTGACCACTGTGGAAGTCTTAGCAATCCTTGGCACATTTTACAGAAAACTAAACACGGCAGGTCAATTCAGAGAAGGCACGTCTTTACTCTTGCAGAACCACATGCAGAACTAGAGACAATAGCCTAGCCTAGTTTAACCTCAGGTCAAACAGGTGAAACAAAGGAATCTAACTATGCAGTCACTGTCACATGTGTATAACCAATCGGAGGGGAGGTTTGCACAACTAAATGTGGTGTTGAGGCTGGAGACCCTAGCTGCATGTGAGAGCCAAAATCAGGGTCGAGATGGCCAGGCAAATAGCTGTGAGAATGCTTGCGAAATTGGTGCCTTGTTCCCGAAAGAGTGTGCGGCTGCACTCAACCAGGGTAGTTCAGAATCTGACTGTTTCTCTGACATGACTGGGTGGGCTACATGGCTTTATCTAACTCACATATCTCACATAGGTTAAATGGAAGGTTGTCCGTTGTTCCGACAAGCTCACCAGTGAGTGTGTTGTCAACCATAACAACAACTGAGGCAGTATGTACATCAGCTCCGAGGTCTTGCAACTGTAGTGACTATTATGGCAGCGTCAACTTTCCTCGAGAGCAGTGACTGCTTTAGAGAATAGTTGGTGATTTTTTTTTTATATTTGGGTCCAATCAGTAAACTCCCACCAGGCTGAAAGACACTGACTCTGGTGTTTATGTACTTGAGGCCAGGCTAGGCCTTTAATCGGAGTCAGCCACACACAAGCTCACATTTTTGAGGGGTTACAGCTGAGGCTGGTATTAGCCCATTTCCGGCAAGGGTATTATAATAGTCATGACAGCTATTTTGCAGGTGCTCATTTCCTAATGTGGAACTCAGAAGCACCTTCATTTCTGGGAAAACATACATACTGTCTTGGCCATACCATCTATGATCAATATGTCATCATCAAAAGAACCAGGCTCGTATTCAAGTTTATTTAAGGCTAAAGTCTGTCATATTAGATGTATAATTGAAAGAATTACTGCCAGTTCAATTATTATGTCTACAAAGGTGAAACGTGTGTGTCAGTCTTAATCACCACCGCCCACAGTATGAAAGATATACCAAGGTGTTCCACAACCCACATATCTAGAAGGTTGAAGGGTGTTCCCTACCAGCACTTCAGCCAGGGGCTGTATGCCTACCAGTAATGTGATGAAGCAAAGATGGTCGCAAAAGACATGCAGCTGGGAGAATATCTCACTACTAAGTATGCAATGTTGCTAGACCTCGGAACTACTGACGATGTCTAGCTGCATGGCACTGACAGTTACGCAGTAAATGACTTGAAGGGTGTTATGATCAACCCAGACCCAGATGTCAGTACACTCTACAAGAAATTCAAATACTTCAGTAAATTACATACATCAAAAGAACGTCACTCTGCTATCATCACTATGCTGACAGGCTGTGGAAAAACAGTTTTTATCCCTGATGAGAGGGCCCCTACCTCAGCATCTTTCAGCACATTTTGTTCCTTTGTGTGACAGTCTGCTATAATCCAGAGTTAGCGAGACCAGCGCAATATAGACGTTACCTTGGGATTGTGTTTTCCCGAGTGTTCAAATAATAGAAGCTGACATTTTTTTGGACTAACGTTATGTAATTGAAAAACAAAACAAAAGTATTAGATGGATTACAAAAGAGGCTATAGTTAATATGGGCAAATGATTTCATTGAGCCATTGGTAAATTTATGATTTTGCTGTGACAATGTATACATGTATGAACAATTATGTGAATATGGTGTTGTGTATTAGACATCACTAGCATGACTAGTTGGAAGATAACCATGTAAAAATAGTGTGAATAAAATAATCGTTAAAATAAACAAGGAAATAATAAAGTTTTTATTTTTTATCTTAACTAACAATAAACAACAAGTTTACAAAAAACATTAAAGTAAGAATAGAGTAAAGAGTTTAACCAATAAAAGATACAGGTGATTGTTGAATCATCTCGCCTGGAAGAAAATAAAAAAAAACAAAAAAACAAGTAAGTGGTAAGGATTATATAATTGTAATGAATTATTTGAGTAAGGTGTTGATTAGCGGAATGTTTAACAGGCAGAACATTGTTGAAATAGATAATGCTTTGGAAATGATTGGACTTTACATAATTAAATCTTCAGGCACATTGTAAATAACTGGTGAGAGGATGTTGAAAGCACTACCGTGCATTCAAGCATCTTCTCAATGACAATAACACAGGTTATGCACATTTACATTATAATGAGGTAAATTAATGTTGTAAACAGAGTGTCATGATTAAATCTGGTATGATGTGCATGAAACGACTTACGGTGCAAAAGCGCAAAAGTGTTGATGGAAGATTCAAATGATAGGTAACACCATCGACAACCAATTTGGAGGTAGTCATATTGCCGAAAATACTATATCTTATTGTTTTCAATAAGTATATGCGCTGCAACAATAAACTGTACAAAACCAGTAGTTAACAACATTGTACAAGTCAGTATTATAGACCCATATAATGCGAAGTTACAGGGTGTTGTACAAATATACCCCTAACTTTTAGGCTATTGTATGTTCATCCAACTGTCCATTCAGAATGAATAGGAAATAAAGTAGGTGCAAAGAGACTATATGGAATGTAATTGTACTTCATGGGAATATCATTGATGATATCAATCCATTCAGACTGATAGAACCCGTAAAAATAAAGAATTTATCGCATGGCAATGGCAATGACATATAACCAGAGTGAATTGAACATGTGCAAAAACAGCATTGTTGGTTCGCATAAGACAGCCCACACACATGCTATAAGGAGTAAAATCCTGGTATCACCAATGACAGGGTTGTAAATGAGTCAACATCAAACCAGAAACATAGAATGTAAATGTATGGACCTGTTTGTACTGAATACCAGTTCATCCATCATTATGTATGTGGACCATGTTAAAAAGATCTCAAACCATTATGAGGCCAATGAAAAACAAATTTGATGTTTCCAGTATTAGGGTAAAAAAGTATTGGGTAGTTAGGCAGGGGTTTTATTATTTTAGATTTATTTTTCCCCCAATGTTCAGTCTATATTAAATTGGCCCCTATCAGTTTGTGCCTAATAAATGACAGTTATGTACATTCCTGCTGTGGCCAATTACCTACAACAGCAACAACACAAGCATGATAAAAGCATACTGATGTACTCATTGCAGCTCCTGCTGTTTCTTGCATGTGACAAACATCCTCCTAAATCATAAGAAAATTGTAGTGGGCCAAACAATGGTCATGAAAAAGTAGGATGAGTACAGCGAGCAATGCCAATGTGGTGAATGAAATGCTATTTCTTGCATGACTTTCTGCTCAATATTATACAGTGTGTGGTAGTTTATGCCAAGTAGTCGTGGTCACAAATGATCATGAAGATTAATCATGATCACATACTTCATAGACACTATAACATTACATTAATGGGCAAAGACTATAAATCATATCCATGCCCTAGACATGGCTACATCCGAAGTCATGATTTTGCCAATGGCA